GAAACGCTCACGGTCTCGCCGAGCAGCTTCCCCTCGCCGCCGCCGCTCGCTGCCGGCCCAGGGCTTTGCTGCGCGAGACACGCCGGATCCTTGCGGGTCACCTTCGTCCTCCGCGCGAGCGCCTCGACCTTAGCGGCATCGGCTCCGCTCAGGCCATCCTTGCGGGTCACCTTCGTCCTCCGCGCGAGCGCCTCGACCTTAGCGGCATCGGCTCCGCTCAGGCCGGGAATGGCCTGACTCCGTCCCCCAGGAGCCGCTGGAAACACCGTGCCAATAGCCCAGGGCGGTGCAAATCGGCTCAGCCAGGGGACGTGGCGTGTGTCCTAGAGTGCATTAACAACCAGCTCGCTGCGCTGCTGGTAATTACTCTCAGAAAGCCCCGGGGACCGGGGGAAATGCGAGGCGGCGCTCCCCGCGAGTCCGGGCTGCCCGCGCGACGCGCCGCCCGCGCTTCTGGGGCTGCCCGGTGCGAGGAGGCCGAGTCCTGCCCCAGGCATGAACTGTGCGCACCTTCCTGAGGTGACCGCGGCCCTCCCCTGGGGCTGAGCTGCCTCTCACCTTGCTGGGAGCAAGCTCCCATATTGGTAAGAACAGGACTGGGTTGTGAAGAGCAAAGCCTGTTCAATGGCTGGGTTGGAGATGTCTTGAGCCACCAGACTAGGTTGCCCACCTGCTGGCTGGCTCACGAGTGACTGGAGCCTCCTGAATCTGGGGGCACCCGCAGAAGCCACCGACCCTGTCAGGGGGGGCACCAGCCCTACCAACAGCATCAGTGTCGGCGGTCAGGGGGGCAGTGCAGCCCCATGCATCCCCTACCAGTCGCCTCTGGGCCGACTGAATTCCTTCCGCCGGGTTTTGAACATGGAAGGTGTCCTGCCTCCCACAAAAAATAACCTGATTTGCCTCCAACAAACAAGGCTGCTGCTGCTTGGTGCCAGCCTGCAGGGCTGCAGAGTGTGCCCTGACTTTAAATGAAGTGAGGTCTGGACAGGGTTGAGCTGGGATTGCACCATCCCACCATTCGGAAGCCAGATCTGAGTCAAGATGGTGGTGGCTCTTTTGCCTAAGTTGTTACGAGACTGCAGGGCTCCCAATATTGTCATAATGGCTAGTCTTCCGTTCCTGTCTCTTGCTTTCTCATCCTTTTATCCTGTCATTTTTCTTAGTTTCTATCAGATCTTTCTCTATGACTCTTTCCAATATTCTGTTTTTACTGTCATCCTTCACTGTTCATGTAGTAGCACCTCAAGTCCCAGTCATAGCAAACGCTGGCCAAAAGGCACCTTTGTGCCAAAGACATTGCAACTTAAAACCTATTTCCCTTGTACTGCTGTCATATTTCTGGTGACTCTTCTACCTGTGGTCCCCTACTCTAATAACTACACTAAATGAAGTGACATTGGCTGCAGTGAGGAAAGCATATATATAGTACATTTTAAGGTTTTTTAAAAAACAATATAAACACTATATTTTCTTGACTTTTTCATTAATTGCTGATGGACTCTTGAAAGTAGTGCTAGCAATAAGCATTCAGGAAATGTAATCTCCCAACCTGGTGAAATAGAATTTCAGTCTCAGTATTTGTTTCACTAAGTACCAGATATTAATAAAACATAAGCAATAACTCTGTAGTGTCCATGGGGAACCTATGTGCAAGGTGCACTTCACTGCTGTTTTTCATAAGAATTTTTTGACAGAGATAATGAGTCAACAATATATAGTAAAAGAGTAGGCACTACTCTGTGTCATAACCAAATTAATAAATTCAATTGTATGCATTCAGTTTGCTAATGGATCCATTTAACTGATCCCTGCAGAGAAAATTCATCTGATAGAAAAACTTTCAAATTTACATTTTGCCTACACTGTAAGAGATGGTCTGGGCCCTCCAAAACAGACATTACTTTCCTTTACATTTACATCTCCCTACTAAGTGCCAGAGCTGCCCATGTGCAGGATCTTCAGCATTAACAGGGCTTGAATAGCCATTTTGACACCTCAACAAGATAGTATCAGGACACCCAGGATGCTCCAGGGAAACTGAAGGGTATAAGTGTGATAATGGTCATGACAGGGTGAATAAGCAGTGTGTCTGCTGATGGAGGGAATCGGTTGACAGGAATCAGCAGAACAGCCTTGGGGCTCCCAGTTATACAGACTGGGGAGGGAACAGCTGAGTAACTTTGGGGTGCACACTGGACTGAGGACCAAGAGATTGCTTAACCCTTTAGAAGGGGCAGAGAACCTCTGGCTGGGTGTCCTCTTCCCCAGTAAATGCTTTTATTGAAGAAGAGCTACCTATTTTGCTGGTCCCAATTTTGCACTTATTCTCCCCAATAATGAGATCAAGTCCCTCTGCCAGTTAATGAACTGAGAGCTATCTCATGGAATCAGGGGCATGGACCACCAAGGAGGTTCAGGGACTGAAATACTAGGGTCTCCTGAGACTAAGCAAGTACCCCCTTGGGGCACACCATGACAAGCATCTTTTCGCATCTACTACTAAACTGATTTCTTGGGTGAAGACCATACAAGCTCAGGGGCAATATCCAGGCCATATTATTCAGTTCTATAACTATGAACTTTTGGACAGGTCTGGAATCTGTTGTTGAACATGATGTTTTCCTCATTAAGCAGGCAGGAATCCAAACAAATCTACTGGATCTTCATTTCAGTCTATTTAAATTCTACTAACCCTGACCTTCAGCTAATGTAAGTCAGCAAAACTCCATTATGTCAATTGAAAATGGCTTTGCTTCTGGCAAAATAACAAGTAACTTGCCTATTGATAATTTTCATCATGATAATGAATGATTGAAGCTTATTTCTCAGAAGGCTCATGGCCCCGATCAATAAGAGTGAATGCAGACAGGGTTGGAAGAAGACAGTTAATTAATCTTCTTTTCTGTCCCTCTGAATAACATCTTTATGAACCTTCAACTTTTAAAGGTAAAAATAAACATTTTTTAAACCACATCCATGCAAGAGAGGCAGAAATACCTGATTTTTAACAACCTTAATTTTTATCACGTTTGATTTAAAACATTCCATTTGGTCTGTCAGCTGTACACCAGATTGCAATGTGAGACAGTTTTAATTAGCTAAGAATAGCCTCATCTAACTGACAAGATTGACAGTAGAATGTACTCTTGGTATTGACTGAAAGCCTTCCCATTTAGTCACTGTTTGGCATCCTGTGGGAAATTAATGGGTGCTGGTTTCTAGCAAATTCCACATGCCCTGTTACCATCTCAGGTGGTATATTAGTTGGAAATATCATCAGAGTGCAATGGCTGAATAGGCAGAGAAGTAACACCACTTAAATCCCAATTTCAGCAACATTGTACAGCAATACAAACAGAACACTTCTTTTCTTTTCTCTCCAGGATTCAGGGCTAAGATTCCACTACGTAGCTGCAGGAGAAAGGGGCAAACCGCTCATGCTGCTGCTTCATGGCTTTCCAGAATTCTGGTAAAATTCACTTCTTGCTCTCCTTTTGTAAGATTTAGATGCTCACTCTTATGACTTAAATCCTCTGATATTTTTCATAACTATGTTCAAGCATCCTGGTAAAGCTAAGTTTTAGAACAGGACAAACCATTCCATTTGATTATGGTCTTTTTTAATTGCACCATTTTTTTCTAATTGCACCAGCCGCAACGTAATCCCAGGAGTTGTTACAAGCCAACATACCAACATACCAAATCTTCTGCTTCTATTCAAGATCAGAAAATATTTCTTGAAGTATATACAGTTTCCATGGTAGTGTTACAGTGAAATTGTAGCCATGATGGGCCTGGATTTATGTGGGAAACAAGGCTTTTTTAGAGTGATGTCTTTCATTGGACCAACTGCATAGGTCCAATGCAAGCTTTCAAATACAAGACATTCTTCAAAGACAGGTCCCATAATTAGTTCACCAGAAGACAAGTGATGGCATCTATAATAAATGAATATGCCTAGTGGATCAAAGTTAAACAAACCATAAATTCCTGCTCAGAATAATGCAAAAGTGATTGTTTTGGCTGTAAAATTTAACCCATAGCTGCCAAATTTAACAAGTGAAGTAGAGTTTGTTAAGTATTTAGAGAAATTGCATTCAGGGAACAAATAGGATATAAAGGATGTGATAATTCAATAAATGGTTGTCTTTCCTTCTAAACTACAGATTTTAGCTTGTTTAGGTTCCCTAGTGGAGGCATTGTTGTTCAGGTGAGACATAAAGGGGTCTTGACCACTTCTAATAATGACACCCCCAATGACTCCTTTTCCAAGCTTTGAGGTGCTGTTCTTATTGTTGTGAACAGATTTCATTTACACGGATATTTATATTATATTGATATTTTAAAGTTCTGAGCTGTCAAACTGACTAGAGTGCTTAGAAATGTTTTACTGCCAACATACCTTCATCATAACTGAACTAATGAATCCGAATATTTTAAAAGAAAGATGGTAATGATTCCTAAATAGAGAAGATCAAATTGTGCTCAATTTATGTCCATGATGGGCTGACATAGGCAACCAATCTCAAATTTACCCAACATCTACAATATTTTATAACTATTGAAGGCATAGAGGCTGCTGGTGAAAGCATGAGCAATTTTTCTCATTAAACTATTAATTTAAAAAAACAGATTGTTTTAATAATATCTTGCTAATTAATTGGGTAAGGAAATATAAATATAGATTAAAATCTGCCAGTTGGTTATTAACTATCTTTTTTTTTCATATTCTAGTCTAATAAGATATTTTAGAGGACAGATTTTATCCAAATAACAACCCTGTTCTGTGTGCATGTGTTGTGTTTCTTCTTTAATTCAGACTTTCTGCTAATATAATAGTACGAATAATCTACTAAATTTATAATACTGATATAATTTAGAAAATCATGCTCATGTTCCACTTAAAGCATCTTGTATTATTTTTAAAGAAAATTAGACAAGACTCCAAAATTTACTAAACTGATTGTTTGTCATAGCTTTAGCCTCATTCAGTACCTGACAGTTCAAATAGAATAGAATATTAAGTGTGAAAAGTGCTGTTTGAGATGTATAAGAATAAAATATACATACTAAAAAAAAATAGGGTTGTCATAACACTGGAGGATTCTTATGTATGGACCAAGATTCTGTGTTTAAAATGCTGAATAAAATAACTGCAATTTTAGAGCCATTTAAGGCAGCTGTGACATATACTGTTTGGATAGTAAAAACAATGGGAGTGATTCCATAATTGGGAAACTTAATTACAAAATCTTCTAGCTTTCAATGTCTCAAGGTTATACCTAGGACAAACTATATAACAAGCCAGGACTGACCTCAGTGAGCAACTGAGGATGTATAAAGACAAAAATCAGTCAATTACTGTATATATATAAAGCACCACAGGCATTAAGTGCCTTATATGCAAAGGAATTTTTAAATCAATACAAATGTTATGAGAAGCCAATATAAATATTTTAAAGTGAAGATAATATGTTGTGACAGCTGAGTGCCTGTAAGAAGGTATCTAAGCTGCTGAATTTTGTATAAGCTGCCTTCCCAAAATAACACAATCAGAAAATCCCCCAAATAAGTTACAATTACTTAGCCTTGAGAAAAACACAGGCATTTACCAACATTTCCAAATCATTCATGCAAAACAGAGGTCAGGTTAGATATACTTCATACATAGTAAGGTGTTCTATGAAATGCACAGAATTCTCTGAGGTCAAGGGCAGAATACCCTCATTGGAAGCCCCAGGCTTTGGATCTGCTGCTTTTGATGGTCTGCTAAGGTTAGAATTTGGTAAGCTTCTGGGTGCAGTGCAAGAACTAACTGTTCAGTCAAGCTTTTAATTGATTTATGGACCCTGTGACAGCAGGATGTGGGCATAGAAAGTGGGCATATTCTTAAAAAAGAAAATATTTGCTATGCCCTGTTATTTTTTCTTTGTGAAGTATTTCTCATAGCTCCTACAGTTACCATGGTAAACTTAACTCATGAGGCAGCGTATATTGATTTTTTAAAATTCATTATTAGAGAACTACATTACTTAAATCTTATACTTGATAGACCTCATATTTATATAACTAAATTTTTCTTTGCTTAATCCAGTGCCACTGTAATGGCCATATTGTATTCAGAATCCCTTACTGGTTCATGCTAGACTCGATGCAGAAAAGGCCAGGGTCTGATGTAAAATATTATTTGCAATTTGGCAGAATTTTCAGGAATCTCCCTTGTGGTATTTGACTAACCAAATGCTTCATTCATGTTGTTTACTTGAAATTGTTGCAGCAAAACTTGACTCTTAGCACAGAAAAGTTCATCAAATGTTATCTATGCTTGGAATGATCATGTTATTTTTCATGTCCTCTTAAATTGTGTCAAAATGGGGCCCAGTTCTTCATGGGGCTGTGCACCTCCTAGACAGTGTTGAATAGCCTCAAAATTAAAGTAATTTCAAACTGAGTTTAGGGAAAGTAGCACTTCGCAAGATCAAGACCTTTATCTTTTGTGATTTTAGCTTTCCCCATTTTTATCCAGTCACAAACAACTATTGCTAAAATCAAGAATAATCTCTATCTACCTCTAGATTATTACTAAACTCTTCTTTATTCTGGATTTCCCTTAAGTGATTTCTATCTTTATACATAGAAGCATAAACACTGAAATTCTATGTTCAGTACTGATCCAGTGATAGCTGTTATTCTTTGTTATTTCAGGATTAGACTGAGTAATACATTGATGATGAACCATAGCATATCAGTTGATCAAATTAATTTGTTACATTCTTTATTGTCCTTTACTTCACTTAGTGGATGGGTTACCCATTTTTTCCCCTGAAAAGAAAACCAAATGTGTGTATCTTGTCATCTGAAGTCTTGGTTTCCATTCTATCCAAACCCTATTTGGCATATGAACAAGGCAAGGAGGAGAGATGACTTTGTTTTAATTCACACTGAGGTGAACTAGTACCAGAACATGGGATGTGCAACCTCAGGGCTTCTCTAACTTACGTGGAACCACTACAGAAGCTAAAAATGACTGGAAACATCCAGAGTCAGGTCAGCTATTGTTCAATTATGTTCCTTGTGTTGTGGGCTTCAAGAGGTTGGAAAGGTAGAACTAGTACACCAACTCATCTTCATGCAGAGATTTCCCTTCTAATAGTAGAATTCCTACCTGGACAAAACCATCAAGCTAAGGCCTAAAGAACTAAATCTTATTTTACCTTTGCGCACCCAAGTGGCACTTCCATAATTGTGCCATTTTTTCAGGGGTATAGGTTTAGCCGTGTTGGTCTAAGGACATAGGCAGACATGGTTCTTTGGGTAAATCTGGTATCTTTTATTAGACCAACTGAAATAGGTGGAAAAATTCTTCTTTGCAAGCTTTTGGGTACAAATACCCTTCATCAGGCTGAGGAAGCATCTGCAGTTAGTCTGTGCTCTTTCCAGATGATGCCGTCCAGAAAGAGCACATACCAACTGCCATTTATTGGCACTTACACACAGAGTTTGGGATTCGTGAGCATGGTCAGAAGGCTGCACTGCAGCTACAGAAGTGCCTAAGTGAAACAGAATTACCCAGACCTGAGCATAATGCTGAGTAAGTCCCAAAAATTTAGTTGCCAAAAAAACCTCACCAGGGGAGGACCCTTCTATCTCTCAACTCAATGGTCTAGTTACATGGCTAGGATATTGCCCAAGGAGCAGGGCACCAATGGCGGCAGCTGCCACATGCGAGCTTTGTCCACCTCCTGCATCCCCTCAGCCTGAGATTGTTTGAACAGACATCTCCTACTTCCCAGCACAGCTAGTCCAGGAGAAGAAGCACAAGTCAGAGGGAATATAGTTAAGTGCCCTAGTGTGCATGTCTACACATGCATTTATTCCAGCCTAAATTTACTTTGCAGTAGTTTACTGCACAGTAAGTATTTTTGGGTAGCTGTCTACACGTGCAGAAATTAGGGAGAAAATTTGTTGCCAGGTCCCTGCAGCCCAGCAATCCATCCCTGTGGCCACCAAGGGAAGCTCCAGGCTCTGGCTGCAGCTGCCAGCACCCAGCAGCCATATTTAGAAGCCAGCCCCACTCTCCGCTCTCTGGGCAGTCCCATTTCTGCCCCGGGTCAGGGGCAGCATACAGAAGCTCCTTCCCTGCCCCCTCTGCCTCCTGATGCCATGGCTGCTCCAGCCCCTGCCCTTAGCAGTGACAACCAATACCCTGTGCTCCTGCTGGCCATGGTGCTGACCCTGCTGGTCCCAGCAGGCACCCCCACCCAGGTCCCAGGAGAGCCATGAACGCAGCACACCAGGTGTGGGAGGTCCTGGCCAACCACCTCCTCCTACACTGCCCACTCTAGTCTGCCTGCACTGCTGCCCACAGACTCTCCTCTCCTCTCCCCACCCTCCGTTATCACGGTCACTGTAGACACATCAGAAGAACAAGTCTTTATTTCCCTCACAAACAACAGACCCCCCTCCTTCCCCAACACACAGAGCCCCTCCACCACCACCCCCTGCTCCAACAATAAAAAAAACCCTCTTCCTGCTGGAAACTACATACAAGATGTTTTTGTGGAGTCCTGGAGTGGGGGGCTGGAGGGTGGGCATACCTAGGGGGCAGGCGGCCAGCACCACCCCAGCCTCTGGCCATTCCCCCCATGGGTCTGTGACTGCAGCAGGTGAGGGGCTCACCCAGAGGCGACAGCACCTGATGCTCTGCCAAAGTGGGTGGCTTCCTCTCCAGCTGGCAAGGTCCAGGCCCAGCAGGGGTTGGACTTGATGACTGAGGTCCCTTCTGACCCTAGCATCTATGAATCTATGAAGCATTCAGTCCTGGCGCTGCTCCAGGCATCTCCGGCTCCATGCCTGCATGGGGCCGGGTTGGGTAGCAAGCCTGGGGCAAGGGCTGGGCCAGGAGCTCCTGGAAGCAGGAGGTGGCAGAGGACCTCCTCCCAAGCCCAGGAAGGGGTCTGCTATGGGGTAGTGGGTGACTGCTAGGGGGCCTGTGGGACTATGGCTGGGGCCTGAGCAGCAGCAGTCACAAACAAGGCCACCAGGCCCAGGAGTGTCCAGGGTCCAATGATCATTGTCTGTGGCCTGTATGGCCTGGCCCAGGATGGTATTTTGCACCTGAAGGACCTCAATCCACTCCCATTCCAGGGCCAGGAGCTCAGCCCGGAACACCTCCTCCCAGGCAATGTCCTCCCTCCTCCACCTGGCCTGGTAGGCCAAGTCCTCCTCCCACTAGCCCCTGGCGGTCTCCTCCTGCTCCTGAGCCGCCACCACCAGCTGTTGGAGAAGGAGAGTCCTGTCCATAATGCACCTCTGGCACAACCGGTGCATCCAGAGGGCCCCAGGGGTGAGCAGCATCTTCCCTGAGCCAGCATCCCCACTGGTGCCTGCAGCTTCTCCCCTGTGTCCAGATGCTGTACCTGCAGAGCCATGAGACAGAAGATTTTTGTGAGTTTGCAATATTTCAGAGATAAGATGCTGTGCACCAGGGGCTGTGCACTGCCCGGTCTCAGATCCGGGGTCAGCTGTGCATGGATGCCCAGGAACCATGGTAAGTCAGGCAGGTAGGCCAGGGCCTAGGCAGCTGCTGGCCAAGCCCTCCATCCTTGCATGCTCCCCTGGGGCTGGTGGCCCGCTGTGTGCTGGCCACAGGCAGCCTGCCTCCCCTGCTCCATTCCCAGGGCAAGAGAGGCCAAGTTTCTGGTAGCACCTGCTGCTGGGGCTCCAGACTCTGCTTCTGTCCCCCTCTTGCAGGCCACCTGTTCTGCTGTGTTGTTGCCCAGCCCACAGCACCTGGGCTCAGGGTGCTCAGGACTCCTGGACAACTGGGACAAGGAGCTGGCCATTCCGCAGTTCTCCCTGCTAGGGGCCTCTCTATGGAGGCTCCCCAGAGCCAACCCCCCTACCGCACTGCTGCTGCGTGTGCCCCAAGCAGCGCACAATGAGCTGTTTGTGCAGGCCAAGGGATGCCCGGCCCACTCTGCCCTGCTGCAGCTGATCTTTATGCTGTGGTATGGCCAATGAGGCCCGTGCCTGCCTAGCTGTGGGGACATGGGCTGTTAAGGGGGGAGAAACCCAGGGCCAGGGGTGTGCAGGCAAGCCAGGGAGGGGCGAAGGGGCTGGGGCAGGGAGGGCCCTTCCCCCCCCAGTGCAGGGCTTACCATGTATCCAGCGCTGGCACAGCTAGCAGCTCAGCACTGTCCTTCCAGCAGATGAAGGCATCTGGTTGCGCCCAGTGTCCTCAGTCCATAGGTCACAGTGTGCAGGTGCCTGGCCAGGGGCTTCACCTGGGGAGGAGTTGGCATTGCTGATGGTTAGCAGTGACACGGCCAGTGGCTCCTTGTGGCTGACCCTGGGGCTGCACAGCTGCCAAGTCAGGCGCTGGCCAGGTCTCTGAGCTGATGGTGAAGCGAGCAGGTAGGGAGCTGGGCAGAATGAAATGCTGAATACCTGAGTGTCCCTCCTCTGGCAACACATCACTGGTGGTTCTGGGGTGGGGTGGGAGCTTGGGAAACCGCCCATGCTGGTATAAACCAAAGTTGCACCCTGAGTCCTGGGGTACTAGAACAGAGGTCAGCTGCCACATAAAGCGCATAGTCTTGTGGGCACAGCTGGACCAACAATTATGGTTAGTCACAGCCACCCACTGTGCCCACAAGGCCTTGATCTTTATACAGCACTGCCATGCCGATCAGTTGTTCCCTCACTCCTGCATCCTGCCCAACAGGGCTTCAAATGTGGGTGTCGGAGCTCCCACCCTGCTCAAACTGGTGCAGCACCTCCATGTCATCCCAGAGTGCCACGAGGTCACCAACCTCCTCCTGGCCCCAGTTGAGGCCCTGGGTGTAGGGCAAGGGCATGTGCACATGGGATGGGAAGAAGGATGCTATCCTAGGTCCCATGCCAGCTCTCTGGGCCCCCATGTGGCTGTCCCTCTGTTGCTGGCCCTGGACAGCTGCCAGCAGAGCACAGTGCAGGGACATGGCAAGGGACTGGCAGCTGTAAGGCAGAGGCTATGCCCCACAGCACCTGCAGGCACAGGGCAGGCTGCTGGGGGTGTGCAACAGGGAGGTGGTGCTGGCTCTGTTGCCAGAGATAGCCTGCAGGCAGCCCTGGGGAGCTGACAGGGCTGCACCTACCTGCCCAGGTAGCTGTGTGGCAGCTCAGTGTCCAGGAGCACTGCTGGGGTGGTGGGAGGCAGGCACAGCAGGACTGTGGCCTGCCCAGGGGGACACACAGCACCTGTAGTGCCCTCAGGCTTCCTGGTGCATGTGCCCCAGGGCACAAAACATTCACAGGCTTTTATAGCTTGCAGACAGGGGCTGCCATAGAGGCAGCCCAGCCCTGGAGCAGGAGAGGCTCCTAGGCTTTAGCACCCTAGTGGCTGGGCAGACCAAGCAGAAAATTTCCTGCCAGGTTACGGCAATACATGCGTCACTGCTCAGTTACTAATCGCACTTAAATGTGCTACCTGCATTTTACTGTGCAGTAAGCATGTACATATGTAGATGTGCACTTACTGTACAATAAACTAGGCAGCTGCGCAGTAACATGTCTTGTGTAGATGCACCCAGTAGGGAAAAGGCCAGGCTATAACCTAGGCCCCACACATCTGTTTATCCTAATTATCTCACTGTTTTATTCAATGATTATTAAATGCAAGTTACAGCATTCCAGTTTCAGGAAGGGGGAAGAGCACAGTAAACTGTGGCCTGGTGGCTTGAGCACTTTACTGGAAAGCAGGCAATGCGGATTCAAAAACTCTCTAGATGAGGGGGCCTAGAACCCAGGTATTCTGCTCCCTGGGCAAGTTTCCTAGTTAGTACATTAGTGAGCTAAAAGGTGGAAACTGCTCCTCTGATGCATATCCTCCCAAATGTTCCTGTGCCACCACAAGAAATCCAAACAGAATCCAAACTGCATAAGTGCCAAAAAATCCTGTCACACAACTATGTAATTGGCACTTATACAAGTAAAGGTAAATATGATTTAGCCTATTCAGGCTGTAGTGTTACAAAAACTGAACCTATAACATTTAATATCACCCCACCAAAGAAGCAGTACTTCAGACTGAGTTTCAGCATTATATCATTTAGCCTTTTAACTATAGCTTTTTCCCCTTTATTAGGTATTCATGGCGTCATCAATTGCGAGAATTTAAAAGTGAATATCGAGTTGTGGCACTGGACTTGAGAGGCTATGGAGAAACAGATGCTCCTTCTCACAAAGAAAATTACAAGTTAGATTGCCTAATTACAGATATAAAGGACATTTTGGAATCTCTAGGTGAGTTAGCACAAGCCAAACTGTCGAATTTGTTGAAGATATATGAATAGCTTTCCTGTGAATTAAAAAAAACTTTTCCAAAGTATTTGTTTTAATGCATACATGCACAAAGCTAAGGATAGTCTAGAAGTAAATTTGTTTTGACTTAATTTTGTCCATTATAACACTTGAACAACATGAAAAATTGTATTCAAGTCAAATGCATAGACAATATACAAAATTTGTTTTTCCATCAAATGTAAAGCCCTATAAAAATCTTTCTCCAATCCAGCATTGGTATTCAGGAGCAAAACCTCGCTGTTTTCCACTGAAGTCTATGCAGGAATAGGGTTTTCAAAAGTGCAAGATTAGGGTTTTAAGGTTCAGTCACACTTGCAGAGTCTTAGTTCTCAAAGAAATAACTCAAAACAATGTGGTAAGATTTTTTGGCATCCACAAAGTAAAATTTGTATGCTTTACACTATATGACAGTAGTGTGAACACTGTATGGTGTTGCTAAAAAAAGAAAAAAAGGAAACAGCTCACTAAATATTACAGCATACTCTCAATTGTTAACATGCATTTGTGTTTACTGGGCCCTTAATACAAGGGTCAAATCATGGTCTGGCTTGCCCAGTCATAAGGGGAAGCAAGTGATAAATAGTGCCCTGCCTTTTCTTACACTAGCTACCCCAGTAGCAGCACTCAAGGGGATGCAAGCCCTGCACAATTCCTATGAATACCCTATACCAGTAGCTTTCAACATTTTCAGACTTGAGGCACATCTTTGTTCAATTCCAGGCACTCCCCCACCCCCAACTCTTGTGAATTTAGTAACATCCCATTTTAAAAGCTAACTTATTTATTACTATTGTGATAAGTTGTATTAACCCTTGCAGAAGGGCTTGGGTAGTAGAGGCAGGGCAGTAGCCAGGCAGCAGGGACTAGCTCAAGTCTGCACTTTCCTCCCTGTACCTGCTTATTGCCTCACACCTCAGGGCACCCTTCAAAAGATCTGTTGGCACACTACAGTGCCCTGGCACCCTAGTTGAGACACAGCTATATACAGCAAAAAGGTAGCTGTGCTGCATATAGACACAGCAAAAGATACTTGCCCTCGAGGAGATTCTCTGAGTCACAATCAGTCTCTCTTGCTGGGTACTCAAGAGGCAGTGAAAACAAATTTTTATTCCTTATGCTGGGCAAACTATAAAGTTTCAATCTAGCCCTCAGGTTTGAACTGAGAGCTGCCCTGGGCATTTTGAACTTCAGCAAGAGATTGGACATGCAACCCACAAACTGTGTTTGCATTTTCCAACTTGTGCTATCTTTATTAATCTCCAAGGTAAAAAGCCATAGTTTTGTTTGCTGAAGTGCTCTAGCAAGCAGCCCCTCTCCACAGGGACTTAAAGCCTTCTGGAAACAGTGACTCCTGACACTTGTCTCCTCTGCTTCTTATCACCCCAAATGTGAACTAGTTTGGAAAATCTCACTAAAAAGTGGCCAAACATTTTTATCAAAGAGTGGTTCAAAGATGTGCATCATATTTGACATCTCTCCCCCAGTTGCCATTCTAATAGCACAGAATAGCAAAATAGTCTAGATTTTACATATCTGACTTGGCATATAGGTTCACTACTGTAATTCTCAGTGAGGAATAAGGACTCTGCAATGTATAAGAGCACTGGTTAAGGAATAAAGGGTGGAATTTCTGAAAGATCAGTTTAAAATTTGACTCTGCTCACACTGAAGTCAATAGTGAAATTCCACTTGGCATAACCAGGTCAATGCTGAGTACTTTTGATAGCCCCACTCAAAAAGAGATTATGAGTATGTGAAGAAGCCTTCCAAGCCCACCCATTTAAGTGTGCAGTAACTGCTGTGATGGAGGTATAACCCCACTTCTCAGGTGATGATGACACTTAGATCCAAATTCATTTACTAAGAATATAAAAGATGCTATACCTCGTCAGACAATAGGTCCGTCTAGCCCAGTATTCCATGTCTCACAGTGGCACAGATCAGATTCTAAATGGAAAAGTATTTATGCAGAACCTATCACAACTAAGCTGTCCCTTTTCCCCTATACCTTCTAGCATTAGAGGCCTAGAAACTCCTAACTTGAGGGTTACAGTCCTGCTATCATGTTCAATACTCACTGATGGGCCTATCCTGCATGAACTGTTTTAATCCTCTTTTGAAGCTGTCAACCCTCTACAACATCTTGTGGCAATAAGCTCCACAAGTGAATTCTACACTGGGTGATAAACAAATTAAAGACTTTTTTTAAGTTGCTCCCTAATAATTTTATTGCATGTCTTCTAGCTCTAGTATTGTAAGAGATTCTGAATAGTATAGCCTTATTTTCTTTCCATATCCACACCATTCCTTATTTTATAGACTATAGGTCCCTCTTCAACCATCTTCAGTGAACTGAAAAGTCCTGGTCTATTTCAGTCTTGCCTTGTATAGAAGCCTCTCCATACATCTGGCCATCACTTGCCTTTCTGAGTACCTTTTCTAGCTTTTATAGTGGATTTGGGTTTAATTAGCTCAAATAGTCCTTTAACTATACAGAGCGTTTTTTCTGGGCCCACTGGCCTCTCAGGAAACCAGCATAAAACCCACTCAGTACCCAAACATTAAACACAGTCCGCACAGGGTTCACTCACAGACCTCAACAGGTAAACTCAGCCCCTGAGAAGATGCCTCCAGCTGTCTGCTACCTTCTTCCTATACTACAATCCTCTTTCTCTTCCTTGGGGTGATTTCCCTCTCAAAGCTGCTCTAATTAAAGCGCCTTCCCCTCCACCCTAGAGCACGTGTATAGATGCCCAAAGTGACATTCTTCTTCTTTTTGCTTTCTTATCTTACTGCTTTCAATTCTTTCATCTCCCCTCTCTCTCAGTCTCTTCAACTCCTTTCCTGGGAACGTTATAATTTCTTTTGGCCAGCCCCTTGTTTTTCACAGCTGGCTCAGTCCTCAGAGCAGGACTGTAATTAGCTTTACTACCTACAGCTGGCTGTAGTCCCTGCAAGCCCGCAGACTCTTACAGCCTGGAGTGTTCATTCAGTCTGCTATAAGCCTTTGCCAGCCAGCCTGCTACTGTTCTGCTATACCCTTTTGGAGGTGGGAGTACCAGAACTGCATACATTATTCAAAGTGGTCATTAGGGCTCTGCGAAGCTTTGGTCACTGATTCGGTTCGGCCCAATTCAGTGGCCAAATCTCCGAATCCTAATTGAACCGGGAGACCCTTTAATCTCTCCAAATAGAATTGGAACCCGCCAAATCAATACAGAAAGATTTGGAAAGATTCGGTGATTCGGACATAGACACAGCTTTAAATGTTTTTTTCTTCTACATACCTCAAGGTACCAGGTGTGGCTCATGATTGCTGCAATGCTGGGACAGATAAAGCATCTCACAGGAGTGCAGGGGGGCCCCCTGGCTTGGCAATCGGCTGCAAGGAGACCCTGGGTGCCCCACCAGACCCAGGAGACACCACTCGCTGAGCCAGTGAGGCGTGAGGGTCTCCCCAGCATGCTCAACAGCAGACCCAGAAGTGGACCAGAAGCACTTCCAGTCCATTTCTGGGTCTGTGGGGGAGTGTGCTGGGGAGCCCCCCACACCTCCCCAGCTCAGTGACTAGTGTCTTCTTGGTCTGGGGGGGACACCCGGGGTCCCCTTGTGTCTGATCACCGAGCTGGGGGGTCCCCCCTGCACTCCTGTGGGATGCTCCATCCACCCCAGCATTGCAGCAGTCATGAGCCACACCTGGTACCTGGAGGTATGTAGAAAAAAAAACATTTAAAGCTGTGTCTATGGCTGAATCGCTGATTCTCCAAATCAGCATTGAATCTTCAGATTTGGATGCAGCTGAATCGAATCAGGGACAGTGATCCAAATCAATTCACTGAATCACTGTCCCTGATTCGAGCCAAATCCGAATTGAATAGGGCCCATTTCGCACACCCCTTGTAGGCATACCACTAATTTATACAGTGGCATAATGACATTTTGTTTTGTTTTCAGTTCTCTTAATTCCTAACAGTTTGTCCAATTGACACCTGCTCAACACTGGGATGATGTTTTCACAGAACTATCTACAGTAATTCTAAGATTTCTTTCTTGAGTGGCACCAGATAATGTAAAGCCCATCATCATGTGTGTGCATCACAAGTTATTTCCCACCTGCATTACTTTGAACTTATCAACATTGAACTTCATCTGCCATTTTATTGACCATTCACTCAATTCTGTAAGATCCTTCTGCAATTCTTCACAATCAGTTTTGATTTTTTACTACGCTAATTTGGTGTCATCTGCAAAATTGAGCCACCTCACTATTCACCCCACTTTCCAAATCATTGAAGAATGTGTTAAACAGCACAGTTGCTTACTTCTCTTTATTGTGAGAACTCACCATTTATATCTAGTCTTTGTTTCCTGTCCCTTAGCCACTTACTCATCCACAAGTAGACCTTAAATGTAATGCCAGGGCAGCATAATTTTATTAAGAACCTTATGATATCACATTTTTGGCATGAATGCAGTTAGCAATTCTATTACCTGTGCAGTGTGGACATTAAGGCTGTGTGAAGCTTTGGTCCCTGATTCAATTTGGTGGAGATTTGGCCCGATTCGGTGGCCAAATGTCCGAATCAAATCAGACTGCCCTTTAATCCCTCCGATTCAAAATGGAACCCTCTGAATCAATGCAGAGAGATTCGGAAAGTTTCAGAGATTCGGACATAGGCACAGCTTTAAATGTTTTTTCTACATACCTCTAGGTAGCAGGGGCTTGTGAGTGCTGAGATGCAGGGGTGCATGGAGTGTCCCACAGAAGCGCCGGGGGGGGGGCGCTCCCCAGCACACTCAGCAGCAGACCCGGAAGGGGTTCCCCAGGGAGCGTGCTACCCCCCCCCCAGCTCAGCGACTGGTGCTTCCTGAGTTGGCGGGGGGATGGGGAGCACCCAGGGTCCCCCTGTGGCTGACTGCTGAGCCACGGCCCCCGCACTCCCCAGCAGACCTGCAAGTGGACTGAAACCACTTCTGGGTTTGCCACTGAACATGTGGAGGCCCCCTCCCCCCTGGCGCAACTCCTGTGGGACGCTCCATGAGCCCGAATATCGCAGTCATCACAAGCCACACTGGTACCTCAAGGTACATAGAAAAAATTTTAAAGCTGTGCCTATGTCCGAATCGCTGATTCTCTGAATCAGCATCGAATCCTCAGATTCGCATTCGGCCAAATTGAATCATGGACACTGATCTGAATCAACAAATCAAATCACTGTCCCTGATTCAGGGCGAATCCCAATCCAAATCGAATAAGGCCCACTTCGCACACCCCTAGTGGACATGTAAGCATGCATACAGCTGCCCCACGTGCTCAATCGGTTATACACTTGCTAGGCAGGTATACTGATAGATGCACTAGTCACAGAATTCTGCCCAACAAAAGTCTGTGACTGGTTGGAGGGGAAGAGAAAGGCCTTCATGTTTTAGCCCCAAGAGCTGAGCTGCTAAAGTACTCATCCAAGAAAAAGGAGACCCCTAGTTTAGGTCCCCCTTACCTAGTAGGCTTGAATCTAGTTCTTTCTACACTCCCATCATAGTGCTAAGTACCACAACACAGGTTAGTCATTAAAGTATGCCTTCTGCAGCCCACATACTCCCCTGAGCAACCAAGGGAGGAAGGCATGTGGGACCAGAAGAAAGAAACCAGACTAGATGTGAGGCTCAATGAATGCTGCTACTCTGGAGCTCAGGTTTCTAGCCTACATCCTTACATGCAATGGAGCAAAAAACTTCAACTACTCTCCACCTATATTATTCAATGACTGCTAAATGCAAGGTGCAGTGGCTCAACTTCAAAAGGAAAGCTGAGGAGTGACTTCATTAATACCTACTTTGTGACATGATGGTTAAAGCACTATTCTCGGATGTCAGAAAGACATAAATTCAACCCCTTTTCGGGGAGGGAAGACCTGGAACCTGGTTTTCTGCTTCCTGAGTGAGTGTCCTAAACGCAGGGATAAAGGCAGAGCAGGAGGATGGAATCTGTGCCCAGGTATGTAGGTATGTATGGAGCCATGTAGTTGCCTGGCCTGTACATAGCCTACTGAGTATGCACAATAGCCATGTGGACACTTATGCACCCACACTCCATCAGTAATAGAATCACAAACAGTGCACAAGTGCCACTTACATGGTTGATAAATGCCATTTAGGTGTGTAAAGCATAACAGAATTCTACCCCATATGTTCAAAGCATTTTATAAGTGTTAATTTGGAACAAAAAAGGTGGTCTTTAAAGTCTTTGTGCCTGCAGTGTTTAATTTCAAACTTTAAAGTCACTGCGCATTCTGGAAAAAAAATTAAGTGAACACTCTGTCATGACTACACATTGAAATAGACATTTACCTCTGCCGCTGAGATTTTGAACAGTGTGTGTAATTTACCTATACTGTATTATAGCATGCTGTGTGTCCACCCACAGTGCCTGGTGCTCCCCCTGCCAGGTCTGATCCACCTGTTGCACTCACTAGTCCCCCTTCACCTCTAGTCTCTCTTTTGCCACAATGTTACCATTCCTGTTATTTTACTGAGGAAGCAGTCCCAAGAGGTCCCTGAGGGGAGTAGCTCCTCCCTTCCGACTCTGTCCTTGAGCTTCTCTGCCCAAACTCAGGCTCAGGAGGGGTCCCCATGTTTCCTCTTTAAGGCAACCCCCTTACACGTCAAAGCATTTTTTGGGTCTTCAGCCATCCCAGGCTCAGCCCATTTTTCTCTGGCCAAGTTCTCAGCCCTAATCCACTGCCTCAGACCTTCACTCCTAGGCCTCAGCTCTTTGCATCCCTGCCCAGAGCAAATATAGTTCTGCAGAATGCTCCTGGCACCCTGTCAAATGGCCTCGAAACTTCACCCAAAGCCACAACCCAAATCTCCAGTCAAACTCAAAACAGCAACCTAAATAGCTCTAACTCAAATATAAATCCTTCCAGGTCTCTGGTCCTCAAGCCCTCCTACCTAGGTAGACTTGTTTCCACCCCCTGGTCTACCAGGTACTTTACCTGGGCCAGTCTGACTCAAACTACAATCACTACCACTCAAAACATCTTCCCCTGTAACAAACAGGCTCAGATTGTCCCATCTAAAACCAGAGCCCAAGCCCAGCCCAGCCACCTTTTGGTCATCTTATCCAGTTCACTACTCCCATGGCTCAGGTAGTGCTGATTCCCACATCTGCAGTCTAGCCCTCTACACCCAGTGGCTCAGTTCACACAGGCAGCTCACACCTGTTGTCCCTTTGCTGTCAGACTCTCTTCAACCTGCCCCAGATACACTCCCCACTTCCTAGTAACAAGGGTAGGGGTTTCCTGTTACATGCATACATATAGAAAAGCACTGAAGTTATCCCACACAATAAGATGAAATACTGCATGCAAGCAAGGTATAACTGCAGTGGAAAACTGATTTTAATTATCTGTAAATTTTTTTACCATACTAGCACACTGGGCTTCATTTTTACATTTAATAGTAGAAGTGCAGATGTCTTAACTGTTGTAGTGTGAATAATTTCTTAATAGAAAGCTGAAGAATTTGAAATATTGTTAGCAAATATGTTGGGACATTTTATCATTATATGTCATTTCATTTTATGTGATAGTTCTTTTGAAGATAAGTGCCAGTAAAAATGTCCAAATCTGTTTTTGTGGCAGGGTACAACAAGTGTGTGTTGATTGGCCATGACTGGGGTGGAATGATCGCTTGGTTGGTTGCTATCTGTTACCCAGAAATGGTGACTAAGCTTATTGTGGTTAATTTCCCTCATCCCTCTGTGTTTACAGGTAAGTTCTGAATAATTTTTATTTTAATCTAAGATATCCACATTTTCACAATCATGGCAATTTTGGGACATGTCTGTATGGTACAATGCAGTGTCATATAGAGATACCTTAAGGTAGTTGTGAAGCTACTCACTCACATACCAGAGTCTATGCAGTACAACAAAGTGCCATGCAGAGGTACTTGCATGCCTTAGTTCTGGAGCTGGAAGCAGTATGGTCACGTTAGTATAAACTGCTGTGTTCAGTGGCATAACTAAGACAGGTCAACTGGAGCAACAGCCCTAGGGGTCAAAGAAGACAGAGAGAAGAGAGGGGCCACAGAAAAACAAACAAACAAAAAACAGCTGCCACCGCAGCCATACAATCCTGCCTCCACCACCAGCAGCTAGAAGTCACTGCTGCCATTGTGTGGCAGCTGCCCCAGTCTGTTTCTCAGTAATGGATATTTTTGTATATCTGTTGGGTTCTTGTCCTTGAGAGAAGGAAGAACAGGAGAACCATCTTTATTAACAGTAACTAACAACTCCCTAATACTATATGATAAGAGCAGAACAGCAAATAGCACCACATAATAATGCAGCTTAAGCAGCACTCTCTCCTGTTAGAGAGCTGAACATACAGACACTCAATACACAACAGAGTGTAGTTCTACACTAACTAGGCCAGGGGCAGGCAATTACAGCCCCTGAGCCAGATCCAGGCCGCCAGGCCATTCTATCCGACCCCATGGGACCCATCCAAGAAACAATTATTACCATCCCACAGCTGCTCCTGTGAAAGCCAGCAGGAGGTAGGCTTTCAGAAGTCACATGCCATCAGACTGGGCCATCTCTATGCCTGCAGCTCTGTGGAGATTCCAGCACTCCAGCTGGGAGCTCCATGTACAGGTACCAAGTGCAATGGCGCACAACTGGTCAGCTAGTGAGTGGGGAGGGAAGCTCCCCACTCACCTGCAGTGCTGGGAGCTGCACATGGAGGCACAGAGCCAGCCTGGCCCAACCCGATGGCACACTCTCCCGGCTGCAGTGTGGGAGCCCAACATGCTGGCACAGAGCCCACTCGGCCTCATGTCATGTGAAACGGGAGCCACAGGGAGTTGTGTGCCATCGGGTCAGGCAGGCTCTGTGTCACCATATGCAGCTCCTGGCATTCTTTCTGGCACCCCTTCACAAATTCCCCCCACCCCAAACCCCACACCTGCTCTCACACACCCACACCCCTTTGCAGCCCCTCCCACCCCCCACAAATCACACACACACACACACACACACACACACACACCACCCTTACCAATCCCCCCCATACAAAAGTAAAACTTTATTTTGAGCTATTTTGCAATCAGCTCTATGTACACTATGCAAACTCATATAAAATCAGGACAAAAATATTTTTTGAAATAAAATTAAAATATGTTATAGTAGATGTTTGATTTTTAGTATAAGATTTGTTTTTTTTCCTGGTTCCAAGATGGCAACCCTGCCCTCTCCAAAGGAGTGCTTCTGGCTGGGAGCCCCATGTAGAGGCAAGGGGAGGGACTTCTAGTGGCAAAGGTCAGTGGTTAGGGGTGGGACTTCTGGTCCCAAGATGGTGACCAAGGGGCAGGGCACCTGTCAAAAGGCAGGGCTATCCCTGTGGCCCCCAACAGCTCACCAAAAGTCATTAAGCAGCCCTCCAGCTGAAATAATTGCCCGCTCCTGAACTAGGCTATAGTGCTTAGGCAGAGCTAACCCCAGGGGTGATGTGCACAAGGGTGCATGTGCACCCCCTGAGAGCACCGGTGCACCCCCTGTCAGGCCGCACTTCCTGTTTAGCCAGTAGGTAGGGGGCCAGGCGGGAGCACCGGTGCCCCCCCTGTGAGCACCGGCCAGGGAGCGGGGCAGCCAGCAAAAGCAGCTACGCTGCTCCCAGAAGTGGCTTCAGGAGTTCCGGCAGTGGCATGGCTGCTTTTACAGTGAGTGAGATCAGCACCCCCGCAAACAGCAGGATCGGCCACCAGGGACCCTCCCCCCAGGTTGCTGACTGGTGTCAGGGGGGGAATGTGCCCCCCCTGACTCAAGAGGCACCAGACACCCATGGCTAGACCAAATATTTCTGCATAGCTTTGCTTGGTTCCATGTAGACACTGATGCTCATTTATGGGCAGGTTCATAGAAGCTCTGAAGAGCCAGACCCCAAGATGTGCTGTGAAAGAAGGCTACAGATGCTCAGCACCTCTCAATGGGTGCAGACAGAAGTGTAGCTCCCCACTGTAACTCAAGCTGCTTTGCAGGAAGCACCATGAGTTACAGTGATTCCCCCGACCCAACAGAGTTTCACTGTTTGAGGGATCTAGCTGCAATTTGGAGTGGCTGCGAGTCTCCAGTCACTCTCCCCTAGTGCCGCCCCCTCCCACCTCCCAGCCCTGGCTCTGTCTTCAGAATGGTTGGGGAGGAAGGGAGCAGAGAGAGCTCAGTCTGGGGATTTTTCAGCCAGTGCTGGAGGGTGGGGCAGGTAAATAGGAGCCCTCCCCCCACACCTCAGAGCTCCAATCCACCCACCCCTCTCCAGCACTGGCTGAAAAAACCCCAGACCGAGTTCCCTCCACTCCCCTCTCATTCTGAAGACAGTGCTGGGAGAAGGGCTGGGCTGTGTCAGCCCAGTTCTGCTCCCAGCGCGTGCTCACAGACGTTGATGAAGGCACTCTGCTTTGAAGCACCTTCATCTAAACCCTCATGTAATGAGGGTTCAAACTGTTGTGGGATCAAGTCTTTTTAAAGTGCTCTGCAGCCATGCACTTCTGTAAGTGCATGGCTGTAGAATGCTTTCAAGAGGCCAATCACACAACAAACATAACTTCTGTCTGCGCCCAAAGTCTAGATTTTCAATTAGATGAAACACTGAGGTGACAAATATTTTTCATTAATGCAGAGTTACACAATAGGGAACAAGGGTCCTCGCATGCAAACACACTGGCTTTTGTCTTTGAAAAACAGGAAGCTTAATCCTCATTTACACGAAAGCCATTTTAGACTACTTGGGCAGTGTTTACATTTACATTGGCTGAATAGTGTTAGCCAGCCTTTGTGTAAATGAGAATCCGGCTTTTAGAATGTAACCATGATATAGCTGACCAGTGAAATTAAAAGTTATGGTCTTGCACTACATTAGAACACTATACATTATAACAGAACAATCACTGCAGTGTATTTAACAGAAGCCCACATGTGCAAAAGCAGGGAGTTTAAGGTAAGACAGAGATATATTAGGAGATCTGTGACATGTGGTATGCAAAGGTCATGTCTGTGGTATAGCTGGCTCTAGCCAGATGTGCTTGATGTACACTTTCCCAAGCATTAAGTGTATATACAGTATTAAGATGAACAGCAGCCACTCTTTAATTTTCATTCTTTAATTGCAGACCTGTTTTTTGTCATTAAAAATTTTGTGGTTTCACCCCACTTCTCCAGAAATATTTACCAGAACAGTACTTAACAAGGGCTTAATAATTATCTCTATTTGATATAACTCTGTTAGTCAATGAAGTCATACGGAGGTAAAATCAATGTGAGATCACAACCACTCACTCACAAAATATATCACAGGTTTTTTTGCTAATATACTATAGAATACTTTAAAGAACAATTAAGCTACACTTACCAAAATAGAGGCTTATTCTGCACCATTATAGCCAAGGGAAACTTCATCAGTGTTTTGAGAGCAGGAGCAAGAATTTACATGAATAAAACACAATTAGTAATATTATAGCCTTTCCAGTGTGTATATGCCTACCTATGTATAAATTACATTCTGCAATTTGATACAATCGGAGTAAAAACCATTAACTACTTAGGGTCTTTTATGCACTGAATAAAAATATTAAAGTTATATAACTGGAACATTCTGATTGGTATAATCACTATTGCAATGTGCAGTACCTGAAAGTCTGATTTTTCCTTATATTTTCAATCATATATTGAATTTAATGATAGCAGTAATATACATAAATTAATTTCTAAGGTAGTATTGCATTTCTAATGTGTCAGAATCACTTGGCCTTAAGCTACCTGCCTTATATAACGCCACTTCAGATATTTTTATAATTGCTTAGTCATATGTTCATATCATTTCTTAGTGTTAAATAATAGCAATAATGATAAAAAAATCTTTCATAGTTCCCCAAAGTCTCCATACAAGGATTGCTTGACTTCCCATCATATGCACATATCCAAATGTCAAAGGTCTCATGGCAGATCATCTGTATGTATTACTAATAACCAATGGCAAAGTGGGGAAGTCTGCCTATTAGAAAATGGTGAGTTAACTTTTCCCAATATTGAACAGATCTCTATAGTCCTCTTTGTAGAATGACAGTATTTAAATGAAAACTTTAGAGATCAGGCAATACTGAAAATATGTTAGTTTACCATTGTCTTATAGTGCAGAAATGTCAAGTGACCAGTGTTGGCGAGCCATCAAAGGAAAAGCATAACAGGTGAAGACATTTAAGAATGTATAAAATCTAAATGTTTCAAAAGGCACTCGGGACTCTAGCTATTAATTGCAATTACATTTACTTCATTTTAAAAGTTAATTTCATTTTTAGGAACTGACATTTGAGATAGAGCTCCCTTTTTAGGGGCAACTTTTAGCTTTCAAATAATTGCATATCTAACTTTACATCTAGAAACCTTTAGACTTTCACCTCCTGTGCTTGCTACCTACACAATAAAAGGGCTACACAGAAAATTTGTATTACAATGCTTTGCAGGCACAAAATTGCACTTCCACTTGCTTAAGGTCCTTAATAGCAACAAAGAAAATAATTTAACTACATTATGCATGCTTTCAATGTGCTTCCAAAGTGGTATGATGGTATCTTAGTTACAGTTTTATACCTGCTAAGAAAGAAGACTTTGGTTTTATCTTTTCATAAACAGGATTGATGCTGTTTTGAGAAAATGGAAAGGATTATTATCCACAGATTTCTGTGCATCACATTCTTAAAGAGGAAATGTTTAATATGCTATTTATGTAATTATTTTTGTAAAATTGGAAGATGTTTTTGACTAGTAACAAGAGATCTCTTCAATTAATTTGAACAAGATCCCAAACCTTTCCAGACTAGAACCCATTTCTCAATTTTTGGTTGGCCTCCCTTTTGTGGTCTATTTTAAGACAGAGAAAAATAAATTGGTTATATGTTAACAGCCATTTCATATATTTCTAAAACTATAATCATTCCTCTTTAGATAAAGCATCTAACTGACCCAGATTTTCCAGAAGCAGGGTGTTTTTGGTAATATATTTTAATGTACCCACTGTTTTATTGGTGATATTTATTGGACCCAAGACAAGCTTTTGGGCACAAAGTGCCTCTTCTTCAAATTTTCCAGAACAGACCCACATTTTAAGGCTATGTCTGGTATCTCTAAAGAATATCTGCAAATAAGACTCCTGCCCTGAATTTGAGAAATTGGTCCTGGATTGTTCTACATCCCTGGTACACTGATACACCTGATGAGACGATGTATCACAATGCAGCCTCATGTCAGCAGAACTAATTAGCCCACCTGCAGTGCCACACTGAAGGTAGCTACACTAACTGGCACTGGAAATGGTATAGACAGCTTTTAGTTCCAGAGGTCTGTGAAACACCTGGAACTATATCTCAGATTTTGTTCCTTAAAAAGTGTATTCACTTTATTGTCATGCAGCATGAGCTACCTAAATCCTTTTCAAAATGTTCCTTTAAAATAATTATATAAACAATATTTTTGTTGTTGTCATCAGCTTTCATTTTTAATGCATGAGCATTTTTGTTCCAGAATATATTCTACAGCATCCTTCACAACTGATTAAATCTGGTTACTACTTCTTTTTCCAAATGCCATGGTTTCCTGAATTCATGTTTACAATAAATGATTTCAAGGTGAGCAAAAATAGTGCTCTTGTTTATATGTTTAACATGTTACTGATGGAAATACTATCACCTGCCTTATTCTTTTCTGACATAGTGGTAGTTATGGAAATATTAAGGTTGGCTAATAAGTCTTGACTACAATCTGGGTTTTAGCAAGGCTTAATTTATATTAGCCTTAGCATTTAGCAGACTAGTTTATGTATGGGTAGAACTGAATAATATTCATTACTTAACCTCAGCCAGGCTTCCTAGTAGGTACTTCAATATAGCTTGATACACCTGACCTCCAGCATGATAATATATATTTCAACAAGGCTACCCAGCTGGTCATATGCTACCAGTTTCTGTCAGAGATCAAATTCTGTGTATAAGGAATGCTCATTGAATTTAGTGGGTATTTGTGTATACAGTGGAACTTCCTCTAAGAAACGTTAGCCCTTTTTTCTCTCAAAACAAATCCAAAATATTTACATGTTAACTTCCTTCCATAGCAATACAACAGTAGCTTCTAAGGAAGGGGCTGCCTAGTTCAGAGCAAGGACTTCTAAAATATTAAACTTTTTTATGTGCTGTAAGTTGCCTAAGTAATCTGTATGGCCAGACCATGCTTCGAGCATCAGAAAACAAACTAAAAAAACTGAATTGAAGTTTCTAGAAGAATAATGCTTTAAATCAAATCACAGCATTTAAAATATATTTTTCTTCTAGGAAATCTAGGACACTCAAAATCTGTATACAAAACCTACCTTTGCTTACGGCAGTGTTAAGACCCAATGTAAAGAAGTTTGTAATATTTTATATATATAGCTTGTTACTCTGACATAAGTCATACCAGAAAAAAACCCTCTATATTTTGTTATTTCTATCTACATAAAAAAAGTATCCTTACCATTCACTATACTCCAAACGAAGTGGTAAATGGATTTTAGATGAATAATTCTTACCTAGGGAGAAAAGTGTTACAGTCTTGTCATCAAGATAGCTTATGTGCTATCCTTTTGCAGGTTCTGAAAAACCTGTTTACCAGCCAGACCACTGGCATTGGAAGAAAAGGCTGCAGATTAACAGCAGAGGATATTGATGCTTATCTCTACATCTTTTCTCAACCTGGAGCGCTAACTGGACCAATTAACCACTACAGAAATATTTTCAGGTAAATATAACATTTTCAATGTTTATAAACCAAGTACCATGTCTCAGATGGATCCCTGAAGATAAATGCCACATATTAATGTCTTGACTTCCCTGGATAAAGGGGGAGTTGATTTGAAGTTTGATAGTGGGTTTCAGCCCTTTATTTATGCTCCCTCCCCATCATCCTCAAAAGTACCTAGTTTCCTTGATGTCTCTCGAATCCCAGTGCAGGCCGCACAATGATCCTTAGCAATGATCACGGGCAACACATCTTATCCTCTTCCCTCTCTGAATTCAGATGATGGATTAGAAAAGCAGATGATCTTTTCTTTCTACAGATCAGGACTCCTCTTGTTGCTATTTTCAAATAGTTATTTTCTGTGCCTCCCTACTCTCTCCTCCCCCATGGCACACTGTGCAACCAACAGACAAAACAGTGACAGGACTAGAGGATAGGAGTCAGCTGCTGACTCTAGAGGCAGAAAGTCATATTTCAATATTCATACTCCTCCCCCCCACAAACAATTTTCTATTCCTGGGCCTTTTCAGAAAACTATAGAGATGGGTCATTCTTCTCCATAGACAACAATCCTTCCTCTAAACAAGGCAACACAAAACTCACTGAGCGGGCAAACTCAGGCACAGCAAGTTGGAGAGAGAAGAAAAGTATTGCTTATACTAGGAGTTGGCAACATACAGTCTGAAGGCCAGATCTGGCCCATGGAGCCACTGGATCTGACCCACAAAGCCAAAGGGCTTTACCTATGCTCATGCCCTTGCTCGTGTCCACACTGATACCTATGCTGGAGGTAAGCAGTGAGGAGCTGAGTCAGGGCTGGGCAATATCCAGCTGCATCCATGGCGCCACTGCTTCTCCACGCCTCCCACGTCCTCTCCAAGGTTGAGGCATGGGCACAACTTCCAGCCAGTGGGGAGTTGTGCCAGGGCTGGGCAGCTTCCAGCTGCACTGGTACTACAGCTGGGAGGCTGGTGCAGGGGCACAAAGAGAAGTGGCAGCAGCATGGACACAGCTTCCACGGACACAGCTCATCGCTGCCTGGAAGCAGCAGTTGCATCTCAGCTGGGAAGTGAGGAGCAGGGAGAAGTGATGATGGTGTGGGTACAGCTCCCAGCTGCCTGGAATGGTGCAGGCACAAGGAAAGCCCCCCCACCATTGATGTGCTGCCAAAGCCATTTGGCTTGAATCAGACCAGAGATGGGTTGTTCTGGCCTGTGGTTTGCAAAAGTTCCCAGCTGCTGGCTGATACCAATTTCATTGTTTAAAATAATGCAGGAAGTGATTTCACATGTCTACGACAATGTCTCACCAATGAGCACATTAACCAGGTGCTTCTGTTAAAATAGTCAGCAGTGAAACAGTTAACATTCTGATATTTAAATTTCATTAGGATATGGATAATATAAATAGGGTGGTCACATGGCACAGGGCTATTGTTTCAAGTTTTCTTAAGACTTGAGAAGAAAGACTCCATCAATTGTCATTCAGATTGTCTTCAGAAACAGAAGAGCTAGCAACTGTTTTTAAAAATGGAGGTGCATCTTTGGGAAACTGAGGGGATACAATTTTAGGGTATTAAAGCCCCACAGCTCACAATGCAGCAGCCTTTGGATTCATTTAGTTCTAGCCTGTCTGAAGGATGTCAGGAGAACCAGTTATGTGTTATGAGGGAGATGACATGGCACATAAATACCCGTTCACAAGGAAATAGTTTAAAGCCACCATTTGATTTTCCTTAAGACACAGGACATCACTTAGATCCCAATTATTTTCATTCTGTTAGCTCACAGTGGATTGGAACTGGTGACCTATATGTTAAAGGTTGCATATCTCATTACCATCTAGGCCATTGTCTAGATCAGCAGGTCCCTCAGAGCATAATTTACTACCATAGTATTTCTAAAGATAAGTTTGAGAATCCCTAGTCCCTGCTACTAACCAGTAAAGCTATGTATGGAGAAGACTTCAACAATTCTACAAAATAAATCTGAAGCACAGAAAAAGGGGAACAAAACATTTATTAAATCTATTCCTTCTTCCATATAAGCCAGATAGTCCAAGAGAGTTTAATGCATGACAACAATGAAAATCTTATTTCATAAAAACTCAAAGTACTTCAGATTACAGGCTTACTCCTATGAAAACCAAAGAAGAATTTTACCTTCAACTTCTACAGAAGCAGGATGAAGGTACGCTCATGTAAATAGCATCATTAAATGCCCATACTCATAAATGAAAACCTCTACCTTTAAGACCTTATCCACAGAAGAAATAGCCTAAAAAATTGGTTTCCAGGCTCTTGGCTATGCACCTTGTAGTCTGCAGACTTCACTGGTCACGTGATAGTGGTCTTCTATTTGTTGCCACAAGTGTTAAGGTTCTTTGCTGAAAGCCTAGAGGAGCAACTCAAAACAAAGTGGATGACAGGGTGTAACTATCACTACTGCCTATACCTTTTTATGGAAAGGACATTCTGTCCTATAGTTGTACACTGTCTAGCAAAATGGAGTCTTGGTTTACGGTAGCATCTTCTAGGTGCCATTGCCATATGAATAAATAATCATAACATAAAAAGGGAATGTGAAGAAAGAAGAGAGGCCCTCAACAACTAGAGGCCAGAGGGAGTGGGTAGGTGTGGCTACACTTTAGTGCAACACAAGCTGGGTAACACAGATCAGTGACAATCCTGCCCTGGAGTGGCGTAACTTTGAATTACATAAGGGCCTTGGTACACAGTTAAGTTTAAGTGGCTTCTGGAGCTCTTAACCCCTGGACTGGCTGCACATTAACACCTTGTATCTGGCTTAAAGCACAGGTGATTCAGCGTAGAGTTACACCACTCCAGGGTAGTATTATCTCCAATCTGTTTAAATTTGTTCTTGTTCCATTACCATGTGGCCGCTTCTCACATCTATTCCATTCAAGTTGAAATCGTCCAGTATCCCAGAATGCTCTGAGGGCCCCTATCCTTTCTTTCTCCGGCAATCAGGAAGCATCCACTTCCCCACACTCCACCAGCCAGGCTGTCAGTCAGCCAGGCATGCCTGAGCTCCAAGGGACCCAAACCCTTTTTTCCCCAGAGTGCTTGATGGCTGTGGTGCCTCCGGTCACTGCCCAGACTGGCTCTGCTCTTACTTGAGCTCCAGAGAAAAAAGGATTGGGCCCCTTGGAGCTCTGGTCTCAATGAAACTGACACAGCGGCTCTATGCTGAGAGCAGGGCGATCAGGGTTTAAGCTTGGCAGCCCTGTTCTCAATCCCAAACCGCTGTGTCAATTTCACCAAGAACAGAGTCCCAGAGAAGCTGATTCCCCAGGTTTCTCTGGGCTCCTATACACATGCAGGGAGCCAACTCGATTAATCAATTAATCGAGTCTGCTGGAGCGCAGAAATAAACATGCTCCAGCGGATTCTAGTATCACATGCATCAGCACCCCTGTGCTGAAAAATGGCAATGGGGTGCTTCGAACTAAAGCTCGTTCGATGAGCTCATTCAATGAGCTTTAGTTTAAAGTGCCCCACTGCCATTTTTCAGCACGGGAATGCTGATGCACATGATACTCAGGCACTTTTAATTAGTGTGGCTTGCTAATTAAAGTGCCCCCACACACCTCCCGGAGCACATGTAAAAATGCCCTCTGTTCTCACTGAAACTGACAGCAACTCTGCACTGGGAGTGGGGCCTCCAGGCTTAAGCCCTGACAGCTCTGCTCAGCATGGAGTCATGTCATGGGGTCCCCAGGGATAGCCGTGATAACCCTAGGGCTCTGTGACCATGCCAGTTCTGCTCTACGGGCACCTTCTAATCTCCCCTGCCATGTCTTATTGGTTGAAATAATAAGTTGGGAGGCTTCCCATGATTTTGTGGTCA